TACTTTTGGAGGTTCTTGAGTTGGCTGCATTGTCTCTGGTCCTCCCTGTGACTGCACCGGTGTCACCGAGCCCGCAGTGTTGAGCTCTGCTGGCTGTACAGGTACTGTTAGCTTCGTTGATGCTTGGGTAGGTGGTTCTTGTGAAGAGACCCCCGGGGATGCCGGTGGTCCCTTCACTGCTGGTAATAGTGGAGGCTCTGGCGATTCTCCTGATGTGCCCGGAAGAGGTGTTGGTGGTGCTGCTTGATTCCTCGTGTCAAGTCCAGCATCCGTCAAGCCTTTATTTTCATTTTCATCCTCATTTGTTTTGGGTAGATCGACATATAAATTCACTCCATGTTCTTGTAGGATATTTTCACCCTCTTCTGACATCGAAGTATCCTTCCCTCCCTGTGAATCTGGGGCTCCTCCTCCTCCCAATGCTGCTGCTGCTGGTTTCTCTTTTCCCTTTGGTAAACTCAAACCTAGAGAAGATATTCCTTTCAACTCATTTTCGTCCTTGCCAGTACCATTTTCCTCAAGAGAACCAACATCACCAGCATCATCGGCAGCAACTCCAGATAAACCGCACCACAGCACGCAAAAAGCACACACCAGCAGCAAATGGCCAGACATCATCACCATCACTCCTGTCACTTGCGTGCAGCCTTCAGCACAAAATAACAACACGTCAACGCAGAGTGAAAGCAAAAGGAGAGAAAAGTCACACAACCACGAACCGTCCCATCCAGCAATGAGAGTCACGCACCACAGCAACAAAAACAATTGGGTGGGCGCAGTTCAACAACAATAAAAATAAAAAAAGAATGCTCCTTGCCAGTGCCCTGTTCCTCACAATCCCACAGTTACTATTACTGTTATTCTCTCTCCTCAGGCACCCACAGGCACGCCACGATCAGTTCAACACGCGCCCCTCCAGCACACGCCGCTGCCATACGCTCCCGTTGCGCCGCAAAGTCCACCAGCTCCTACCAGTCAAACGGCTCCGTGTCCTATACAATCGCCAGCATGCCCCGGCCGCGCAACACACACAGCGCCACAATGTCGTGCCGCCCCCCCTCCCCAATAGTGAGCGCAACGCCAAACGCGTACCGGCGCACGCGCCCCACGCGCTGCAACCACAAGCCGATCAGGTTGGCCGTCATCAACTGCGTCTCGTTTTCCTCCTTCAGCAAACCCTCTCACCCTCTCAGTCCACGGTCTGGGTGCCATGAGGGGACGTTAAGCGAGGCGCCGCCTCTGTGGAAGACGTCGATGTGCGTGGAGGAGTCGGCTGTCACCCACACTCAGTTCCTCACGTCCCCCCGCTCCCTCCACTCTTCCACACACAAGGACGGCGTCATGGGGAACGAAGTCCGCCGCACAGCGCATGCACGAGGGCACACGCAGAAGCAACGCCATCCACGTCGCACCGCAAGATAGAGCCATGCGCACACAGCACACACGCGGCCGCAAAGAAACGAACGAGGCGCGTCCAATACCACGGCGCAGCCCTTTACTTCTCTCCGCTCTGACAAATTGGCACCGCACTTCACAGCAGGTTTTGGCGGGTGGCGTCCCACACTCACAAATGCGGCACGGCGCACACCATCCGCTCCCCTCCGAGTGCACTCAGCATGCCGGGGCAGGATGCCCAGTCACCCTCGTGCCATCGCAATGGGTAGCGCAAACAATCGTCGTCGCAAACCATCGGTGCCTCTAGCAGAAAAGAAGAAAAAGGTATGAGGGCAGTTCGGAAACACAGCCAGCAGAAGGGCACTCAACGACACACGGAGACACAAAGTGACAGTGGACACGGAACGGAA